TCCTTGGAAATTTCGAGACATTTTCACATGTTTTGGAGCCTGTATATCCCTATAGTAATACCTTTAATCATCTGAACCATCTAAATTCTAAATTTTTCTCATCACTGAAGATGATATTTGGACACTCCACTAAATATATGATTTTTGAAAATTCAATATTGGCAACTTTATGTCGAGGAAGTAGCTGACATTTGACCAAATTTTTTTCTTTGGAAATGTTCTGATTTTCTTTCAACATTTGTTGCACTCGATACTTTGATACGGACAGAGCCAATTCGTGAGAAAATTTGTCTGCGCTAAGGTTTTATTTAATTACTAGGCTTTTTATACGCTTGTCACGCTCTTGCAGTAATGGTGGGCCCGGGCAAGGTTTTTTCCCGTGATTTTCAGGATCTTTTACCAATTTTCGGATCGTAAAATAGCTTTTGTTAACTTTTCCAGGAAATTGCTGTAGTGGAATCCCCTTTTCGCGATAAGTTGAAACTTTTTCACGCTCTTCATTAGAAACATAGCGGCTTTGAGACACTATCGAAAATAAACTAATTTTAAAAATAAAACAGCTCATTAGAACAATAAACTCAGTTGTAACGTTGATTTAAGCTAAAATGAACCAATTTTCAATAAATTTTGAGCTCTGATGCACTTTAAAGATGCCATCGATTACTAATGTAAGGTCAATTATTTCGCTCTGCATTACGAGCGCGAGCTTTTTAAAAATTATAACGGAACCTTATTGGATTTTCTTCCAAATTTTGATATTGCCATTAAGTTGAATATAACCAAACCACTAAACAAATACTATAGTAGACTATCAGCTTCATAGAAGCGAAATGTCACCGCTGAATGTGCGTCTCGAAGTCCCAGCTACAAGTATTAGTGCGTGTAGAACACGCAGCTAGAAGTCCCAGCTACATTTGTATAAGTTCGTGTAGCCAATGATTTTTTAGCGCTCCAAACCGTTTTGGCTTGATTCACACGGACACTGCAAGTAATGTGTTGGTGCGCTGACTTTCTGAACTGCGATGGAACGAAAATTCGTTACTATTTGGTTAGTGACCAAACCCAACGAAGAAGATTTGACAGCAGGTCATAAGCATTGTAAGGTGACTTATTGCGCGCACCATACTAGAAACCACCTTATTTATTATATCCTTTATATTAATGCTTTTTTCTTGTATTCACGAATATATTCGATATACAACATACATATGTACGTATGTAAATATATGTACGTATGTAAATACATGTACGTATGTAAATATATGTACGTATGTAAATATATGTACGTTAAATATTTCTTATATGGCTTCAACTGCGAAAAGATGCAAGTGGCACATTCTATTTTTTAGATTTCTACGCTCTCATAGGTAAGCTGACCGAGACAGGTGTTGATTATACCCGGTACTCGAAGAGTAAATAGGGTATATTGTATTTGTGTGGAATAACGGTTGTATGTAACGCACAGAAGGAAGCGTTTCCGACCTCATAAAATATATATATTCTTGATCAGCATCAATAGCCGAGTCGATAGAGCCATGTCTGTCTGTCCGTCTTGTTTGTCGGCTAGTTATCAGAGACTATAAGAGCTAGAGCCACCAAATTTTGGCTCCGGACTGCTGTATGCTCACACTGAAAGCAGTGTATTTCAACAATGAGCCTCCCTTCCGCCTCCGCAAAATGGCGAAACCTCCCAAACCTACAATTGTAAAGATAAAAGAAAACTAAAAAGGCCTTTTCGTAGGGAATGGCCATATCTGTCAGATCGTCGAATTGGGATCCGATTGGATCATTATTATAGCCACAATGAAGAAATTAATTTCCAGTGGCTAAACCCACCCTGTCCCGCAGCTTTTGTTGTTCTTTTCACATCCTCTTATTCACACTCTGCTTCTGCTTCACTCGGCCTCTGTCTCTACACTCCCTCTGCCTCTACCGACTTTTAACCCACCCCGTCTAGAAGCATATATTTGTTTTTTTATACCCTGTACTCGAAGAGTAAATAGGGTATATTGTATTTGTGTGGAATAACGGTTGTATGTAACGCACAGAAGGAAGCGTTTCCGACCCCATAAAGTATATATATTCTTGATCAGCATCAATAGCCGAGTCGATAGAGCCATGTCTGTCTTGCCGTCTTGTTTGTCGGCTAGTTCTCAGAGACTATAAGAGCTAGAGCCACCAAATTTTGGCTCCGGACTGCTGTATGCTCACACTGAAACCAGTGTATTTCAAAAATGAACCAGCCCCCTTCCGCTTCCACAAAAGGGCGAAAACCTCCCAAATCTACAGTTATGAAGATAAAAGAAAACCAAAAACGCCATTCCGTAGAGAATGGCCATATCTATCAGATCACCAAATTGGGTTTGGATTATTATTACAGCCACAATGAAGAAATTAATTTCCGGTGCGGTCGCTGCCTCTGCCTCTGCCGCGAGTCTGCAGTGTGTGGGTCTAGGGAAGGGCGGCGAGCTAAAGGAGCATGTTGGTGTGAGAATTGTTGTAGATGTAGATGACAGATGAAGAAAAAATTTAAAATTTGACAAAACACCGCTGAAGTGCAGATGTAGTACTGAGTGCCGGGTATAAAAGTTGTGACGCGTAAAAAGCGTCTCACACGTCCCTTCTCGTTTTTTTGTGTGTGCGGGCGCTGCCTCTGCCGCGAGTCTGCAGTGTTTTGGTCTAGGGAAGGGCGGCGAGCTAAAGGAGCGTGTTGGTGTGAGAAGTGTTGTAGATGTAGATGACAGATGAAAATATGTAAAATTTGACAAATAACCGCTAAGGTGCAGATGTAGTACTGAGTGCCGGGTATAAAACACACGTCCCTTCTGGTTTGTATTGTCTTTGGTATGATTCAGCGCAGTCTACTTGGCACCATACTACCACGAATACTTAGCGATACCAGGACCTAGGATGACTAAAACTGCAACAAATTTAAAAACTATTATCGAGAAACGATGACAATATTTCACTTTAAAATCATTGTCATTGACTTTTTTCAATTGTTCCTAGCATGATCAGACGCTTAATAAAAAGTATACCAAACTTCACGACTCCGCTCGTTACCTGGACCTGGTTGACTAAATGAAACACAAGAATTCAAAATATAATCATTTTATTCTTTCAAAAACATCAATGTTATTCAAAAGCCGCATTCAAAGGAAGATAAATTTTACAATTTAACGTTTCCTGTGCATATGCTCGCGGTTCTTGCGCTTCCAGGCAGCACGTCTAGATCCGCCAATTGTCTGGGAATATCTATAACCCTTGCCAATACCACGTGAGCTCTTACCAGCAGAGGTAAGGCCCCGAAGCTCGCGATGCTTGTGCACATGTTTGCAAATCCAGTTGATTTTAGGATCTCGGCGAATTGCACTATGATGAGTGTCGATTAGAATCACCTCAAAGTACTTGTATGAAGCGTCTTGTGCAATCCAATAGGAATTTAAAACGCGCAATCCTCCAAGTCTGCGGCCGACACGCTCCTAGGAAAAAAATGAAGCAAACAATTAGTAACTGATACTTATGGTTTTGTAATTATTTTCATTTTTTTTTTAGTAGTTTCAGACATCTAAGGAAGTTATACGTCAACATTTTTTGTTTTGACTAAAATGTGTTCATCACGGGTAGAAAGTATCTGTTTATTTTTCAATTGTTCTTATACTTTTTACATACCTCCGCAATCGACTGCAATCCACGATAGGGTTTCAGTTGGTTAACGCCATGGCTTTTTGGCTTGCCGTACGTGCAACCTTTTGGCACTGGACGCTTGCGTCCTCCACGGCGGACACGAATCCTGTAAATCACGAATCCTTGCTTGGCCCGGTAACCCAAGCGACGTGCCTTATCGGGACGCGTGGGTCTAGGTGAACGATGAAGTTTCGTCAACTGGCGGTACTGCCACACCCGTATACGCAGCAAGTAACGCATCACATCACTTTGCTTCTTCCTATACAGCTCCTGCATATAACGATAGGCCCCCATTTCCAATATATGATAGACCTAGTAACAAATTTATTCGTTATTTATATATTTAATAACAGTCACATCATCGGTCCATCAATTCACTTGACTGTAAAGTCATTTTAGATCCAAAGATGTACATTTCGGTATCTATAATTTAAATTCCATAAGGGTTTAATATATGTTCACAGGCATATGCATAGTAAACTAAATTAAGTTCAGGATACGAATATGAACATTTCCCAGTCAACATAAAATATGATGAATGGAGATGAGAGGATCTCCACAGAACGAGATGCACGAAATATATAGCAAAATAAACTCTAGGATCGTTGGTTCACAAAAAACAAGCGGAAAAAAAAACTTTCCCCAAAAGATTTCGAACATTTCTACTGATTTTTTTCATTTGATAATACTTTACACACCCTGCTTATGAGACGACCAAATTCTAAAAGAAGGAGGTCAGTGAAGTTGGCTTCGGAACATCAACATCAAATCAGAGTTGCTTCCAAACAAGTAAATCGTTTAAAAAAAATATATAAGACTCAAAGATGGAACGAAGAAAATGAAACAAAATATTCAGTGGAGGTCCGGTTTTCTGGCTTGGTCGGAACCCAGAGTCTGCTTCCGAACTCGAAAACAACCATGCTGGGCAAATGTATGTGTCGAATAGCGCACAAAAATATTGTATGCTTATCAATTTTAAGGGCTTTTTATTGCATGATTATGATTATGATTATGATCGCAGAGTGTGCAATGGGATACTGTTCGAGCATAAATTCCTTTTCGGGTTTGTGGACTTCCCATCCGTACTATTAGGCCTATTTGCTTACTGTTGGTTAGGGCAAGCTACGCTTAGCACGAACGTATTACGGTTTTATGCCCCAATCCGTTGCCATACTTTTTCCCCTGAATTATTCCTAATTAATATTTTATCTACTTAATATATACCAAGAAAATGTTGCTCATCGGAAAACTGGGCTTTAGTGATTCCAGTGTTCCTGTACCGAGTGTTCCAAGTCCCCACCAATGCTCGAATTTTCGATAATTTAATATCGAATTGGTGGAACGATAACTTCTTGATATATTGAAGTTTAGAATTTGATTAGTTCTTTGGTTTTCAATACTCATTAAAATGACGGATTGGGCTAAAAAAGCAGAAGACCAGGAAGTAGCCAAGCTGGTATGGGATAAATTTACTGATGTAAAAGTATCTATTTATAATTCGTCGATTTTAGGTTGACCAACTTCAAATTCAATCCGATGAGAATACCTTTTCTACCAGGAACAACAGTTGTATATATGATTTGCCGGCAACAAAAAATAATGAGGAATCCGAACCGGATGTTGCTGAGTAAGTTCCTAGAATATACGACCATATTTGTTTATTTTGACCCATCAAGTAAAATACTAAGTACGAGTACATACATGTGTACTTTTAATTATATGCAAAGATTCATTCCAAAATATTTATTAAAAGAAATGTGTGTACATACGTATGTGTGCATTTCTTTAAATATATTTAAATCGTTTAAAGTCGATTTCTGACTAAAATGTCAAGCAGTATTAATTATTAATATGTGGTTTCCTACGAAGGCCTATGGACAGCAGAAGACTCAGAGTTTACCTGGTACCTCTGCGACAGTATGTACTGCACGCAGTGTGATGGCTCGTAGTTAGCCATTTCTATACCAAATGTTTATAGATGTTTAAATATGTTTAAAATTATGAGTTTATCTCTTACAGCCCTGCTGAAACCAGCCTCCTAATCAAAATATTGGGAAAGGGACTGGTAAACACAAAATTATCTCTTGATATACAGCAAAAAAACCCGAATTCACCCCTACATTCAGTAAAAACTTTCGAAGCATTACATCTGTAAGTTAAACAAAATTTCTGAGGACTCATTTGCTTCAAGATACTTATGTATGTATTTATAGGAAGGAAGAACTGTTGAAGGGAATCTACGCAATGGGATTTAACACGCCATCGAAAATACAAGAGACTGCTTTGCCAACGCTCCTTGCAGATCCACCACAAAACATGATAGCCCAAAGCCAGTCTGGAACAGGAAAAACAGCTGCCTTTGTCTTGGCAATGCTTAGCCGTGTAAACGTTAAATTAAATCACCCTCAGGTAATTATATCCGATGCTATAAGAACACATGAGTATTTTTGATTGAATTACGTGTCAGCCAAAAGGTAGCGTTTCATATCCAATAAAAAAATATAAAGACAATCATTTTAATATTAATAATTCATTTTAGGTTCTGTGCTTGTCCCCTACGTACGAGCTGGCGATTCAAACAGGGGAAGTAGCTGCACGTATGGGACAGTTCTGTCCCGAGATCAAACTTAGATTTGCAGTTCGCGGTGAAGAAGGTCTGTACAACAAAGGCAGCTTATATAAACTTACAGTTCAAAACTTTTAAAATGTTCCTCTTTTGCAGTTGAACGTAATCAAAAAATTACCGAGCACATTCTAATTGGAACACCAGGAAAAATGTTGGATTGGGGATACAAGTTTCGTCTTTTTGATATGAAAAAAATTTCAGTTTTTGTATTAGATGAAGCTGATGTTATGATAGCCACTCAAGGTCACCATGATCAGTGTCTTCGAATACATAAGTATGTATACATTTAATTTTACCAAATCAAGCCACGCTTTAAAGCAGTGGTCGGCAGGTACACAGAAAGAAACATTGAAATGCATTGATTTGGTACCAAGCTCTGCATTACACGTGTATATTAACGTTGTATTCCACTATTCTTGAGTGTAACTAATGAGAAGATTGGTGAGTCCTTATGGAAAAAGTGTGTCTTGTGAATGTGAGTAATATATAAATATATTTCTACAACCCCTGGATCACTGACATGGCAAACTAAGTCAAATTACTGGTCATCCAGCGCTTAGTCGTATTTGTGTATTGTATTTGTGCTCGAAAGTGGATGTACATATGTAACGCGCAAAAGGAAACGTTTCCAACCCCACAAATTATTTACTTATGTTCTTGATCAGCATAAAAAGCCGAGTCGATATTGCTATGTTTTTTCTGTGCGTCTCGTTTGTCGTTTGTGTTTGACCACCATTTTGCATCCAGACTTCTTCAATATCGCAGTGATACAAGTCAATTTCCGCCCCCACTAAGGGCGAAAATCCCACATATCGTCACCGATCATTATTTTAGTCAGAATGACGAAATTCATTTTCAGTGGTTTCCGCCCCACTTCTTCCAGCAGCTTTGCTTAAGCTTGTTTATTGTTGTCATTCTTTCTCGCTCTGGGGGAGGGTGGCGAGCTAAAAGGGCGTGTTGGTGTGAGAAGTGATGTAGCTGACAGACGTAGAAAAAATGTAATTTGTAAAGTTTCATACACTGACCAGCAAAACTGTAACACGAATTCAGTGTGCCCACTTCAACGGTCTGTATCTTCTCTTCTATTTACCGCAGCCTCAAGATCAAATTTTGGTTTTGAAATCCAATTTTTGATGAAGAAGAACATGTGCTCTGGGCCATTTTCTCATTTTTTAGCACTCTCAAGTTGTTGGACTCTCAAGTTGTTGGATTCAGAGACTATAAGAGATACAGGAACCATATGTATGTTATGGTAGACTCATGTGAATTTAGAAAAATGTTGGCAATAATTGTACTTCTCTTTCATAAAAGTAAAATATCTCTAAAATGTTTTGTTTATTTTTTTATTTCAGATTGCTTAACCAACAATGCCAAATGTTGTTTTTCTCTGCTACTTATGATAGGGAGGTTATGGACTTTGCTCAACTAATAGTTACTGAGCCAACAATAATAAGGTATTAAACTGTTATTACTTTACACTTTCATTTCGTCCATAGGGCTCAGGTCAACATTTTCAGGCTAGAGCTGGTTCCGTTCTGTTTTTAAAATGCAAACATTTTTCCGAAATTTGTATTACCTCAAAAATAAGAGGAAACTGTAAGAGCTAGAGCTGCTGACTCGTGACTGGGTACCGGGTATAAAAGATGTAACGCGTTCGAACTCGTCTCACAACGTTCCTTGTTGTTTAAGTAATTGCTTAAGTTTTAATTTTTTTTTAAATATACCCATCCCTATTGGGTGTTTGTCAAAAATGGAATGGAATTTAAATGTAACGAAATTTATTCGGGTTTTTAATTCGTACATTCCAGTCCATTCGAATTTGCACTACTTTTTTTTATGTGAAAGACTTAAAGTGTCTCAAAAATAGTTTTCAAACTGAAAAGGTGCGGCACAACTATTTCATTCAACATAGATATGCTTGTGAAGACCAGAAAGGCACCCTTAGTGCGTAATCTTTTCAATTTGAAACTGCACAGAATGCTTATATATCTTTAAATATATATTTTTTCTACCTTTTCACTGAAACTTTACATTTGTTTTTTTAGATTAAATCGAGAGCAGGAATCTCTGGATAATATTAAACAGTATTACGTTAAATGTAAAAATGAAGAAGGAAAATATAATGCAATACAAAATATATATGGATGCATTAGCATCGGCCAAGCTATCATATTTTGTCATGTGAGTATAAATTCAATGCTTATATTTAAATTATTATTATTCAGATAAAGGTGAACAAAAACGATTTATTTTCTGTTTTTATCTGTCAACGGATATGTATGAATTCAGTTCTGTGATTTGTTTTTGAGAAAGGGCCGATGAATCTCGTAGACGACGATTGATAATAAAATCACGGGATTCCACATTCTCGCCAAATATCACTGTATCTTCATTGATAGTTGGACCATTGAACTATTTGTTTGTTTGTTCTCCTGCTGTACTTATGTTCTAAATATAATTATAATCAGTTTCCGAAATATAATTTTGGGTGCACATAATTTGTGTAATGTCGACTTATACTTATTAGAGACGGATGTTAACAATGTTTCTTAAAATTTGATTTCTTAGACCCGTCGTACTGCTGCTTGGCTTGCATCAAAGATGACATCAGATGGCCATTCTGTTGCTGTTCTTTCTGGTGACTTGACTGTTGAGCAACGACTTGCTGTTTTGGATCGATTCCGATCAGGGCTCCAGAAAGTCCTCATAACCACAAATGTTTTATCAAGGGGTAATTTTTTGCAAGAATATTAAATGATATCATTTATAAAAATTTTATTATTATTATCATTTATTATAATTATACTGTGCTTCATAGGTATTGACATTGAACAAGTTACAATTGTCGTTAATTTTGACCTGCCGGTAGATATTCGAGGCAACGCAGACTGCGAGACATATTTGCATCGCATTGGACGTACCGGACGATTTGGTAAGCCTAATTGGTTCAAACACATAGTCAATACTCTGAATGAGTGTGTTCTAAACACATTGGATGCTTTGACTTTTTTGATAATACTAAAAACTCGTAGCAAATTTAATCTCTTTTAGTTGTAATTATTGCATTGTTTAATTTCTTAAAGAATATCACAAGAATTTGAATACTCGACAAAATCGAACACAAGGAACCAAACTGTCTTTTTATACCCGGTACACTAAGTGGATGTATGTAACGCATAGAAGGAAACGTTTGCGACCCCATAAAGAATACATATTTTTGATCAGCATTAATCAGATTGGATCATTACTATATAATGAAGAATGAAGAAATTAATTTGCAGTGGCTAAACCCACCCCGTCCAGCAGTTTTTTCTCTAATCCACACTCTGCTTCGTGTAGTGTGCGGCTCTAGGGGAGGGGGCAGATGTAACAAAAATTTAAAATGTCAAAAATAATACGGTACAGGTACACTGAATGAGTTCCGGGTATAAATGTTGTGACGCGTAAGAAGCGTCTCACTGAAGAGTTTTTAAAGTCTGGTATTTTTTTTAAGGTTTGTTGGAAACTGCTGTGCTTTTTCGGCCACTCTGACTCCACATTTACCATAAATATTCTCCGTATTTAGTTTATTTATTATACCCGGTACTCGAATTTGAGTGAATAACGGTAGTATGTAACTCACAGAAGGAAGCGTTTCCGACCCCATAAAGTATATATTCTTGATCAGCTGATGCTGATAGCCGAGTCGATATAGCCATGTCTGTCTGTCCGTCCGTCCGTCTTGTTTGTCGGCTAGTTCTCAGAGACTATAAGAGCTAGAGCCACCAAATTTTGGCTCCGGACTGCTGTATGCTCACACTGAAACCAGTGTATTTAAAAAATTTGCCCCGCCCCCTTCCGCCTCCGCAAAAGGGCGAAAACCTCCCAAACCTACAGTTTTGAATATAAAAGAAAACTAACATTCCGTAGGGAATGGCCATATCTATCAGATCACCAAATTGGGACCCGATTGGATCATTATTATAGCCACAATGGAAAAATTAATTTCCAGTTGCTAAACCCACCCTGTCCCGCAGCATTTGTTGTTCTTTTTACATTCTCTCATTCACACTCTGCTTCTGCTTCACTCGGCCCCTGCCTCTGCCCTCCCCCTGCCGACGCTTGTGACGACTTTTAACCCACCCCGTCCAGCAGCTTATATTTGTTTTATTTTTGTGCGCGGGCGCTGCCTCTGCCGCGAGTCTTCAGTGTGTGGGTCTAGGGAAGGGCGGCGAGCTAAAGGAGCGTGTTGGTGTGATTAGTGTTGTTGATGTAGATGACAGATAAAGAAAGATGTAAAATTTGACAAATAACCGCTAAGGTGCAGTTGTTTATATATTTTTTTGTTATTCTACGATTAATTACAATTTAAAGGGGCGTGGCCTTGAACTACGATTCGGTGTGTTAAACTGTATAAGCGTTGAGAGCTCGATGATAAATGTAACGGGCTCGCGTTAACATAAAGAAATAAGTGGATTGCTCAGCGAGGCACGGCGATCGACATTATTTTAGACGACTTTTGAAATAGGCGAAACACTGCAATATAAGCAGTACATGCGCTTCTATGCGCTGTGATAGGGAGCGATGAGCGCGACAATAGCATATTAGTATAAGAGGAAAAAGAGACGATCTGATCCTAATAATTATGTATTTTCTGCTGCTCCGAACAAGGGTATTTCAGAGGTAGCGGTTTGTTTTTTCCCTTAACTTAAGTAGCTAAGATCTGGTTGTAAAGATATTTGTTTATCTGAGAAAGCTGATTGATGCATAAAGGAGCGTGTTGGCTTGAGAAGTGATGTAGATGTAGATGACAAATGAAGAAAAAATTTATAAATGTAAAATTAAAAAAAAAAATACTTAGCTACAGATGTATTACTGAGTACCGGGAATAAAAGTTGATGCGTAAAAAGCATCTTACACGTTCCCTCTCGTTTATGTTGTTGTAGACGGCCGAGCGAAATTTTGAAGTACATTTGGAATAGTGTGATCTCACAGCAGTCTTTACTTTACGAACAACAACAATTCTAATATACCCCTAGTCTTCAAGCACCGGATATACAAATTCAAAGAAATCCTTTTAGATTGTATATAATGATGAGCATTTCTATTAAAAACCCAAGTTACGTTTGGAAAAAAAGTATTTAGATCTTAATTGCAGTGACCGCTCATTTTCAATTGCACCTTTTTATGCACATTTTATTACAATCAAAGTACAAAGTAATATCTTAAACAAACATATATATATATATATTTATATATTTTTGTGTAAAAATTAACTATAGCGGAGGTTAAATTAGATATTATTGTTTATTTATAATAAATTTCATCCATTTAATATACACAAGTCATTTTATGTTCTTTAAATTGTATATTTAGAAACTTTGATGGCTTTTTAAATAGACTATTATATTTTTAAAGAAAAAACCATACTCAAAAATTGCTCATAATGTATTGTTATGACGCCATCCATATCAGTATCATGTTGCCGGAAAGCCGTTGTCAATGTCTGCAATTTAAAAATGTTGGGAATCCGATTATTACTAAGTACGGTGAAAATAGTGAAATCTGTAATGTATATGTATTTGCTTTCATTCGATACTTGTGGTAATAAGCTCAAATCAAATGTTCCAACTTAATCATTCTTATTACGATACGCTATAGGCATTTCCCTGACAACAACGCGGCTGTGAGTTTGACGATAAAAACTACTTGCACCAATAAAGCAGTCCCCTCCTGTCGGGATAATAGCAATAGTCAGACCTGGTCAGACCAGACCAACTCAACTGTTCAGATTTGAGGCTTAAACAACAAAAAACAGTACATCTTACAATATAAATCATACTCCCCTAATCTGTCTGTCCACTTTGCCTATTGAATAACTTTCTAGCTTATTCCTTATCGCCCAATCACTTAAGTATGTACATATCTCTTTCTTCCTGTCTCTTTCAACCATATGGCGGTTATATTACCGTTTCCCTGACAGGATTTATATGTGTACACATAAATACTTCTATGAAAGTCGAAAAGTAACGTGTTTTTGGCATTACATATGATACATGTAGCTGTAGCTTCTGTAGCTCCTTTAATCTCTTAGAACTAGTTCTAGATCTCCTAGAACTTGGTTCTATACAACATTTTTTGCACTTTGAAGTAATATAAAGTAGGTTGACATGTCTCCTATCTGAGAGAAGTGTCCTTACGTTTACAACTTTGGCGGCTCTCAAGAATTAAGCAACTTTTTTAAAAAGAACCGAAATTGAACGGCAACAAAAATAGCACCAAAACTTTTTAATATATAATGTTTTTAATTGATATATTAATCGGTAGATTAAGTCGATTGTAAACAGACAGTTAAAAAATATTAATTTTTTTTGGGTCGTTGAAAGCACTTTAGGAAAGAAAAAAACCCAAGGGATCAAACCTTTAACTCCAAAAGCTATGTGAGGAAAATAGTAGGTTCCACATCTAAAATGATTCGTATTGCTTTAAAACATGTATCCAACCATAAACTAGTGAAAGAATTGGCGCAATATCCACATTTCGGTTGAAAATTCTGGTTCCTGAGAGCAAGCCGGCCACAGAGCTTAAAAAGGATCTTAAAAAATTTCCAAAGATAAGCAAAGCTAGATTTAGCTTAAAAGAATATAAATTTTTGAAGTCTGAGAAAAAATCCAGTTAAGCAAAGTCACCATGGGGCAAAGTAAATACAAGGTAGAAAAAACACTGGAGTTGGCTAAAATATATATGGATATAGATCCTGTGATCCGGAGGAAGCCAATTTTTTTTGTTTTTTTTGGCAAAACTTTAGATTTTATGAAAAACGACTACCAAATGAAAAACACAACCCTTTGACACATATTTATATCTAATAATCATGCTGAAAAAAGAAAGTAAAGTACCCGTGCTTTGTTATTATATAATAAAATAATAATGCTGCCTTATATGCAATAGAATATGCCGTTAAGTTGTGTCTTCATCAGGGAAATGACCAAAAACAGACCAGATAGAGAGCTCTAAGGGGTTTTAAAACATTGACTTCTATGCAATGATTTCTCTTGCTCAGTCCCCAGGTATGAACCATAGGGAAAATCTTTGGTGAACAGGTAAGGAATATGTTTCTAATACGAATTCAAAGGTAAAGTTTGACATGGGGGTTCTGCCAGATTTGTGAAGATTAATCCCCCAGGAAAGACGCGAGAATAAGGTTACATTTTATGACAGGACTCTCAACCTTTTTTGCTGCCAAAAGGTTTTAAACAAATTATTATCCTTTGAATACCATTAATGTAAACTACATACAATTTTTTTTTTTAATTTGAAGTTGTTTGAGCTGTTATGAAATGGGTGCTACTTTTGTTGCAGCCCAAATACCGGAATAATTCGTTTTCCTTCCAAATATTTCCAACTAAAGCCATCAAAGCATACCATATCTCTCGAATAAGTTGAATTAAGCATCAAAGTTGATATAATAGTTTTAAAAAACCTTCATTGTTATAACAAAATATCTCAAAGAAAACAAACAATTATTTTCATGGTGCTATATTAAACGCCGCAGCTGTATAAAAAAAGAAGCCAAACAATTTGTGGGTTTAGCGTACCGTCTGGGAAATATTAAGCTTTGAAATGCAAGTTTGGTTTTTTGTGACGTATTTTCGGGAAACTCGGGAAAAAGTGGAAAAAAAAACTATTTTTTTCTCAGTCGTCTCTCCAAAGAGAGACCATCAGACCATTTCTAAGCCCCATATCTTTCATATAAAGTGGGTTTGGTTCCTTGATGAAAAATCGTGTCGGGCAGTGTTATCAGCCTCTGAAAAAATATATTTTTTTTTTCGTTTGAAAACATCACCATGTGATGAGAATAACAAGCATATTCATTTTTGGTATTCCCTATCCTTCTTTAATTTAAAAAAGTCCTTGGTCAGAGGATATTGATATTGAAAAAGATCAAGACAAATATGAAGATTAACTCTGAGTGAAATTGGTACAGCTTATACCCGAGTTAATGGCGAACGGGCTTAAAATGTGGAACATTTGGATCGTATATTTCTAGGTTTAAGTTAAAATGTATATGTAAATAAGATGTACATATATGTATGCTTGATTTCTAAGTGCTTTTATCAAATCACCATTAATTTTGCGATATGTTACAGGAAAGTCTGGAATCGCCATTAACCTTGTCAGCGGAGATAAATGTATGGCAGTGTGTAATGCCATTGAGAAACATTTTAAGAAAGACATTCATATTTTAAATACTGACAGCGCTGATGACATTGAAAAGATTGGAAATTAACATTTTTCATTCCAAAGTTTAAAGTTTATAACATTACTATTGAATGTGCATTGTCTAATTTACAATAAAAATGGAATCAACAAATTTATTACTTAATTGTTTATTTTTGTTAGGAAGGGAAATTGATCTCTAAATAATTGCTGGATACGACTGATAAGAAAAACCGTGTCCATTAGAGTCAAGTACACCAAAACTACGTTTGTAATAAACTATTTTTATACCCGGTACTCGAAGAGTAAATAGGGTATATTGCATTTGTGCACAATGTATGTATGTATGGCACAGAAGGAAACGTTTCCGACCCTATATATATTTTTGATCAACATCAATAGCCGAGTCTATGTCTGACTGTCCGTCTTGTCTGTCGGCTAGTTCTCAGAGACTATAAGAGCATCTGTCATCTGCATCTACGACACTTCTCACTTCCCCTTTCCTAGAGCCACACACTGCTGAGTTCCTGCGGAGGCAGAGGCAGAAGCAGAGTGTGAATGATATAATTTGAAAAAACAAATATAAGCTGCGGGATGGGGTGGGTTTAGCCACTGAAAATTAATTTCTTCATTGTGGCTATAATAATGATCCAATCGGATCTGAATTTGGTGATCTGATAGATATGGTCATTCAAAATAAACGTTTAATTTGCACACTTATTCTAGATCTGCTTGCATGGAAAGGTGCGCGTTCGCAGCACTAGAAGAGGGTTTGTGAACTTCTTTATTGTGGCTATAAGATCCGATCTGATCCAGATTAGTCAATCTGACAGATAATATATGTAATTCGCTACGATACTACGGATGATCCAGATTTTCTTTGTGGGTGAACGGCAGAGACCACAGGAGTCAGGATGTAAAGTTGGGTTGCGTTGCTCCACCTCTTATGGTCTATGCGATCTAGGCGCTCATCAGAACGGATGCAAACTTTTATACCCGGTACTCAGTACTACATCTGCACCTTAGCGGTGTTTTGTGAAATTTTTAATTTTTTCTTGAACTGTCATCTACATCTACAACACTTCTCACGCCAACACACTCCTTTAGCTCACCGCTCTTCCCTAGACCCACACACTGCAGACTCGCGGCAGAGGCAGAGGCAGCGCCCGCACACAAATATAAGCTGCCGGACGGGGTATGTTAAAAGTCGGCAGAGGCAGGGGCCGAGTGAAGCAGAAGCAGAGTGTGAATAAGAGGATGTGAAAAGAACAACAAAAGCTGCGGGACAGGGTGGGTTTAGCCACTGGAAATTAATTTCTTCATTGTGGCTATAATAATGATCCAATCGGATCCCAATTCGACGATCTGACAGATATGGCCATTCCCTACGAAAAGGCCTTTTTAGTTTTCTTTTATCTTTAAAATTGTAGGTTTGGGAGGTTTCGCCATTTTGCGGAGGCGGAAGGGAGGCTCATTGTTGAAATACACTGCTTTCAGTGTGAGCATACAGCAGTCCGGAGCCAAAATTTGGTGGCTCTAGCTCTTATAGTCTCTGAGAACTAGCCGACAAACAAGACGGACAGACAGACATGGCTCAATCGACTCGTCTATTGATGCTGATCAAGAATATATATACTTTATGGGGTCGGAAACGTTTCCTTCTGTTCGTTACATACAACCGTTATTCCACACAAATATATATTTACTCTTCGAGTACCGGGTATAGAAAATGTTTCGTTTTACATATGTATTGCAACAAAAAGTGCCCAAATCATTCAAACCTGTGATGGGTCGTTATTCAGACAAAATTATTTCATAAATACAGATGTAGTTAGAGGGATGTAAATATATGCATAATTAGCTAGTATTTTATACCATGTATTTACGGAACAGCCTTTAGAATTCTGTCAAGAGTTTATTTCTTACCTACTACATTAAGTTGTTGTATACTATTTTTAATTAAATTAACAGAATGAAACTACCTCTTATTCAATTGATTGCATTTTTTATTTACATTCTACTTTAAACTGTTTAAATCTTTTTCACATGTCCTATATGCAACACCAATTCCAAATCCAGTACCCAGCCATGCCGGCCACGCTCGACGTCTGAAAAACAGCAGAGAGACAGCAGATCCAATAATAAGTCCGCCACCTGAAAATATGGATTTTGTGAATGGAACAATATTATCAAATAAAGCAGTGCCCTACTCAGGAATAACAGGAAAAGAAGATTAGTTCAATCGTGGTTTTACCTCTAAATTATGATATTACGTATGATATATTGGAAATTTTTTAAAAAGAAAATCAAGTTGGTATTTTCTCAAATATGCACTTTTAATAAATATTGAATACCATCGAAGAGGGCAATTAAGACAAGTTATCCAGATATCCAATGCACAAATCCAATTTGTACCGATGCATATAAAGAATTACATAAGTAGCTACTCACATCCTTTAACTATGGTATCTGATACACAGCGATCTAATCGTCTACCGATCTTATCTTCATGGAATACTTTCGCATCAACGGACATGCTGAAAGGATTTTTTATAAATCTTCCTGAAGAAAATTATTATTTAAATGTAAGTGAATTCCGTGAAAAGTGACAATCGGGTGAGAATTTAGTCAGGTTAGCGTCGTCAAGTAAGAGATATTTTTGAAACATGAAATGTAGGGACTAAAAACCATTTCTTCTCTAGGAATAGGTTATTACGTTAGGCTCTGCCATTAACCATATAAATAAATATGTAAATATACCGAATTGGGATCATATAGGATCATTATTATAGCCAGATTAAGGAAATTCATTGGCTGAGGCTACCCCCAACCCGTGCAGCAGTTGTTCTTTATATTTTGCACATTCTCTCATTCCACATTCTTCTTCGTGCAGTGTCCGCTTCTAGGAGAGGGGCGAGCTAAATCGGCGTGTTGGCTTGAGAAGTGATATAGATTTAGATGACAAATCTGAATCTGAAAACCTAAAAAAACCACTAAGGTACAGACGTACTACTGAGATCCGGGTATAAAAGTTGGGACGCGTAAGAAGCGTCTCACACGTCTCTCCTCGTTTCTTTGTGAATGCCAATTCTTAATGGTTGATTTTAAACATTTTAGGATAAATACCGCATGGTAAAAAGCATATTAGCTGTTTCGTCATTTCATAGTAGCTTATGTTTTATGTTCGGAATTGCTCTGAAGTCTAATGTAAGTAGGTTAGGGCAGAGCGGGAGACCAATAACAGCTATCTCTCTCTTTCTCTTGATGTAATCGCCACGCTTTGCCAGCAAGGATAGCTAGGCTTAAGCCCACTACTCAGGTGCACTACATTTTGTTCATTTTGTACATTTGTACATTTTATGTAGATAGATAAATTGTTTCTTTTGCTGCATTTTCTGATATATTTTCGGCTGATCTGAGTTCTAAAACACAGGCTGCGAATTATTTTGTCGAATAAAAATCAGGGTCGCAAGAAAATTCAGCATGCATCACCAGCAGCTCTCGATTCCCTTCTAGTAGCAAAACCTTTAAGTACGCACGAGTTACTAAATAAGTTTACTTGTTATTCCTTGTTTAACAAAGGAGTGTAATTAAATTAAAGAACTATTCGAACCATTCTTTAATCTGACACCGTCTTGAACCGACTGGCTTGTCGTTCTCTCATCATCATCGTCAAGAGAAACGTTGAAAATATTCTTATTCAAAGCAATATAATCGCAAAGCTGTTATAATAAAGTTGTTGAAATTTCAAAGCTTTGTTTTGGTCATCAGCTCTATTTTCATGGATGGCGAATGTCATATCTGAAAAATACTCTCAGATGCTCTGTGGTGAATTTCTATTATCTTGTCAATCCATTATGCTTATTTTAGTGTTCCTTTACAGTAATTCCAACTGCAATGTATATATCGATTACAAAGCTGTGTTAGGAATTTATGTCACTTTGACTTGAGCAACTTTGTTTTTATTCTGTGTTGACGATGGGGCGAAGGAAATCTAAGAGAAAGCCGCCACCGAAAAGGAAAAATATTGAACCACTCGACCAACAATTTAACTGTCCGTTCTGCAACCATGAAAAGTCCTGTGAAGTAAAAATGTAACTATCTTCAATATACGCACGACTGTGCTTACGAACCATTAATCCTTGCTTAGTACATTATTGATGGGTTTTACATAGAGGGTTTCCTTAAGCTCCTTATTAGTATTAATATACAAATGTTTATAGTTTTGGCCAAAGGAATAGGAACTATGATCAGAGTAATGCCAAAATTCTAGTTACACCATGATGAATCTTAGCTCTAACAACGTCCTAAAACGTGCATATGGACAAACTATGCTTGTGGTGAAGCAACGAGATGAAAATAAAGGACGCATTGGGACCATTTATATATGTGTGTATGCAAGTATCTTTGCACATGCAAATGCACAAAAGAGTTAAATGTTCGATGCTCCGGAATAGATTAACTGAACCAAAAAAATTTAACTTTGAAATTAAATTAGAAACGAACCATGTCCGACCGCCCAACTGCTTGTGCATGTAAACATTTGCGTTCCTGATACTTTTTCTTAGAACTTTTAACAATGTTTAATTTTTATTTTAAATTTCAATGTTTTGCATTGACTCGCTCAAACTGTACATTAACGGCATAAACTATTACTCCCTCCATACGATTTTTACTCTGAATGGCTTGAAAACCCTGTGTAAATGTAATTATATTGTTCATTTTAAATCTTTCAGGGATAAAGGAAGAAATACAGCGAAAATAACTTGTCGAGTGTGTTTGGAAGACTTTCAAACTGGAATTAACTTTTTATCGGAGCCAATTGATGTGTATAATGATTGGGTAGATGCATGCGAAACGGCCAACTAATTTCGATGTCTTAAATAAAATTGAACAAAATGTATTTAAATAAGTATAATAATTATAGAATATTTTATTGAGATGTAAATAAATTACTACCAATTCAATAATCTTTACCGGTACTAACCATTAATAGATGCCGAAAGCGGAGCTGATTTAAAGAAGCTCCAGATGTAGATCTGAGCTTTTGTTCGACACCATCAGCATGACAGTGTCTGCTAAGTTGAACTACTAACCAAATAGTATATACTATAGTGTGGTTGAACGCTATTTTGAACTACTAAACTATTCTTTCAGTTTGTTCCTTTACCTGCACTCCAAGAGTTTGGGAATAGTTTTGTGTGTTTGTTATGAAATTGGATGAGTGAAACGCCCAGATGGCAACGTTTCCGTCGACATAAAGTTTATACAGTTGGGGGAAAAATAATAGCACCACTACAACGCATTTTGTTCTTGATTTTTAAATTTTTTTGGTTTTTTCATATAGTTAAGCATTAACAAAGAAGCCTTTCTTTAAATTTTTGTCTTTATATTTATTTTTTTAACTTTAAGAAAAAATACAACAAATATGGCGAAAAAAATAATAGCACCATTAGCAATATTTTAAGTGAATCTCCGTAATTTCGCGGAATTGACTTTGTATAGACCACGTATTTATTAGTTTTGACAAATATTTCATTGTTTCTATCATAAAAGCTAATAATAATCATTACAATAAGACGTAGAAAGCTCCGAAATGCGAAGAAGCGCGACCTTAGCAAAAAAGTTTATACTTGACGTAAAAACCTACAGAGAATTTGGTCAATTGGTAGGAATTTCAATAAAATGATAAAAAACGAATAAAACAATGAAGAAAAGTGTAAACCACATGGATGAAAACGGTCTATGACCCCTTTTAGGGTCAAAGGTTCCTTTCAAGCCCGATATCGAGCTTAAATAAAGAGCTTAAAATATAAGCAATAGAAAGTTTGGATATATCTTAGACAACCAAGTCTAAAATTCTGCAGACCAAGAAAGCTACCACTTCTAAACACCAGACATATTAATAAGTTGCAAGGGAGCATGCCAATTGGACATCCCTATAATGAACGAAAATTTTAATGTCAGATGAGTAAAAAGTGTTTTATTTACTGAAAAGGGATCTCGATCATACCTAAGACGTCCAAGGAACACCAGTTCACCAAAGAAAACCATTAAAAATGAAAGGTTTAATTTAATGGTATAGGCCTGCCTCTGTTACTATGGAGTAGGTTCAATATATTGAATAAGAACCATCAAGGATCAGCACGTGTGCGTGGATATCATGGAGACTGTAATGCTACCGTTTGCAGAATATGAAATGCCACTAGAATGGGCCTTTCAACAGGTAAATAACCCAAGCATGAAATCAAAGGAACTGTTCGGGCCAACACTGAACGTTTTAGAGTGGCCTGCACAGTAGCCTGACATGAGACCCATCGAAAATTTGTGGTCGCCACCCAAAAGGCAGTTGCTGCTCTTAAACCAACCACTGTAGGATCACTTTGAGAACAAATTTAATAGTCCTGGTCCAAAGCTCCCCAAAAGCTATGCCTGGACCTAGTGGTTTTCATGCCAAGACGCTGCGCTTCTGATGTGGCCAAAATAGGACACTGAACTAAATTTTGAATGATAAATATAGATTTAGATTTTAATAGTTCAAAAGTGTTAACTAAGAAATTTGTTATTTGTTGCTCATTTTTAAAATTTTAGATCAATTTTTCAAAAGTGGTGCATTTATTTTCTTCGCCTAATTTGACCAGTCTCACTAAAGTTCCTTAAATAACTTAAAAGCCTTACAAAAAAATATGCTTTTTTTGTTGTTCCCAAGTTTGTAAGAATCTTCCCTTTCTAAAAATGTGCTTAAAGTTTCCTTAAAGTTAAAAATGTGGGAAACAATTTGAAAATTGCTTCTGGTGGTGGTGCTATTATTTTTTTCACAGCTGTACGTACATAAACCTATCTGCGAGACTATAGCAGGCATGAAGAAGCTATAGTTTTTTCATGAAAGCAGGTAGAGCAATCTCATCAAATCCGACAAATTAGGAACGTGTGAGAACGCCTCTTACTCGTTATAACATTTATACCCGATACCCCGTCAGTATTTCTGTGCCTTATTGTTTTTATACCCGGTATTCGATAACTAAATAGGGTATATTGTATTTGTGGCGAAAAGTAGGTGTATGTAAAGCAGAGAAGGAAACGTTTCGGACACCATAAAGTATACATATGTATTTATATATTCTTGATGAGAATCAATAGCCGAGTCGATATAGCAATGTTTGTCTGTCCGGAGACCATAAGAGATAGGGCAACCAAGTTTTGCATGCAAATTCCCATTATATTTATCCAATAAGTTTACGGCTCTGAAAGTAGTCAATGTGGGTAATACCGGAATGCACTTCCAAAAAAAAAATCGTTTTTGGCTGAAAAAACCACCATGGCCGACCTTGACTGAGAATTATCCTGAAAAACCCTGTGTTTTGACTGTTTTGGATTACCTACGGTTTCGAAACGGTGCAGAAAAGTGTCCTTATCGAGGTAGATCCACAAACCACAAAAATCCTTCGAAGCTGTCACATGATTTCGTTCGTGGCCGATTGTGAGCAGCTTTTTTATACCCAACTGATCATTCAAAACTAAAACCACTTAGCGATGTGGTTGCCTATAGCTTCAAGAAACCCTTTTTTTTTTTGTAATTTTAACCTCTCATCGGACAGCAACATATCCATA